TATTTTTGTCAAAATATTTGTAAAGTACACAAATAATACATACAAATATGTTGATTTTTATATGAAAAAACATTTAGTCAACAAAATTACTGACAAAAGGTATCGAAAAAGGTTTTCATTAGAGACTGAGTATAATGTGATTAAAATAGTCGACGAAAAGTGTCCAAATAAAGAGATATTAAAACAATTTAGTGCTGAATATTTCAATATATCAAACATTTACAAGTTTAAAACATTAATTTAAGCTCATATTTGTTGTTTTATAGACTTTTATATAAGGCTCGATATAAGGGGAATTCGATTTAAGGGACATATTTTCCATTTCACCAATCATTCGCTTAAATTGGAGATGACCTGTATTTATTATTTTATTTATTACATTTGTCCTTTAAATATTTATAAATTTAAATTCTTTTACCTTTATTATATTATTTACGGTTATTGCATTTATTATATTATTTACAGTTATTACATTTATTATATTATTTACAGTTATTACATTTATTATATTATTTACAGTTATTACATTTATTATATTATTTACAGTTATTACATTTATTATATTATTTACATTTATTATATTATTTACATTTATTACATTTATTACATTTATTATTAAGTATCATTATTAATATTAAAGCTGTAAAATAAGTTACATTATTTAATTTCATAATATAGTCTATTTTGAAAAATACATTTATTGGCTTGCTTTCGAAGTAAACATGTTTATTTTAAACGCAGTTTGATAATTATAGATGTTTGTAAAATGAAATACATAACTTTTAACTTGAATTTTAATTTACTATATATAAAATTGTAATATTAATAGTTATAAGTATTAATTTAAATAACTTTATATCTAATTAAAGTTATTACTCTGATTTGATTTTAGCATTAACTAAATCAAATACATTATAACTAAAAACTACTTAAACCAGAAAAATTACATGCTAATAATTTAATTTTTATTATTTTATCATATTAATTCAATAAGTAAAACCTCTTACACACTTAAAATAATAATAAATTTAATACATTAAAATATTTGTACAAATAAATAATTTTATTTTAAATATTTAAATTATATCCTATTATTTGTAATGTCGCATAATAATAATTTGTTAAAAACAAACTTGATCTCTTATAGAAAACTGCAATGTAATTAATAATTACCTTATTATTTCTAATAAACCTTATCAACTATTTGCATTTTTCACCGGAATTATAATTTAAACTATTTTGTATTAAAAATGAAATTAATTTTATCTGAGATATTTATTTGAGATAGATATAAACTCGATCTTTCGAACAATATAATATAACATGGTAATATAACAATAAGTGAAAAACATAATTTGTTGTTCAAGTTGCAATTTTATTATATAACTCAAGTGTTTATATCTGAATTGATTGATGGTGGTCTAAAATTTAGATTAAATATGTTTATGCATGCAATAATTATCAACATAACTTTATTATTTGTCCATAGATATTATAAAAATAATTTACCTGTTTTTCATGACATATGTGTAAGTTCCGATTAATTAAACAATCATGTTGCAATTTGTAAATGAAATACCATGTATATTTTTTTATATAAATAGGGTGGCAAACATCGAGCATAACATAACGATTAATATTATCTTAAGAGTTAATAAAAATTAACAAGTCAAAAAAATCTTTATCCATTTAACTACAACATGTCGTACATAATTAAGTTGGCATTATTAACCGCGTTGGTTTGCACCATGGTCCAGGGCAACAGTTTACCCCGATTTCTACTTACCGCTGGCACCGATGCTAAAGATGCAAACACATGCATAGCTCTACTTTTAAATGGACCATGTCACAAAATTGTTAAGATGAGTCAAACTGAACCATACTATTGCTGTATGCTTTGGAACTTTTTAGAATGTTTTCAAACTAACTACAGGGTGAGTTGTTTTTACAAACATTGCTGCTTAGTTAATAACATACTTGTATATTAATAACAAGATTAATTAATTATTTAATTTAATTGTTTTTTAATTTATATATTACATATGCTATAAATTATATTCAATAATTAATATAGTATTAATGTTATTATTATCTAGTTTATTGTATAAGTTGTACAATAAATTAACTTTAATTATTTACAAGTAACTAATTTATAAATTACCATGCTAATATATATTTTGATCTTAGTCTACATGTAAAACTGATGACGCGGCGGCCCTTGAAAAGATCTGGTACCAAGTTCACTTGGACATGATTACAAATGATTACACTCAGGCTAATTGTACCGCACACAACTATGGTCAATATATGAGCAGGGACGTTTGCAAAGGCTAATATGTTATAATAAATTTATGGTTATTAATAATATATTATTCATAAAATATGAAATTACAATTTTAAATATATTTTTATACTAAATTAAACATGGTAAATTCTATATTAATTAATTAAAAAATTTTGACAATAATAAATAGTTATTTGTTATATAATTAATATAATTTAATGAAACTTGTAATAAGTGATACCATTAAAGTAAAATATATCAAATATTAAAATTGTCAAATAATGTAATTATTACACTTAAATTATCATTAATTAAAAATTGTTATAATTAATTATCTTTAATTATTTAGTATACCTATAATTTTAATAATTGTTATCAAAGTTTAAAAAAAGTTAAATATTTTTGTATCAAATTGTTATTTGCAAAGTATTAATAGTAAATTATTCTATTATTCAGAATAAGTAATTATGTACATGTAAATTACATTTACAAGATTGGTAAATTATATTTGACACAATAGTAATCTTCAAACATACAATTATTTTAAAAAGCTAGATCAACTATATTCCAAAATTGTTATTAATAAATATAGATATCTTGTAATATAAAATTACTTTTTTATGATTATAATTACAGTTGGTAAGGTACAAAATAATTTAATTATAATTACATTTTTAAAAATAATTAATTAATAATGTACAGTTAATTAATAATATTAAATGTAAAGCGTTGGGTGTATTAATATATTCTGTTAATTTAATATAAAATTGCACCATGATTATTAAATTATTTAATAGTATATTAAAACTTTTCATGTAATATTATGTAATATATAACGGAATGAACATGGTGCAATCCTATAAAAACACTCAAGTCATTTGTTAAGAATCAAACTTACATTAAGTTAAATTATACATTATTTTACTCAAGTACATCTTAATATATTAGAACTTAAACACGTTTCAAACAGTATAGATAATCCGAACCCCGTTTATACAATGATGGTGTAATTTTGTTTTCAAGAGATTAGTTAAATATTTTTTTGCATAAATAGCGAAACATGAGCTAATTGACTTTACCATTCAACATAACAAGTTAGAAAGCAAGCTCAAACCAACAAACCAACAATGTCCTACATTATCAAGTTGACATTATTGACCGTGGTGCTATGCGCTGTTGTTGAGGCCAACACCCTTACCCAATTAGCACCGATCACGATTGGTACAGGTGCTAGTGATTCGGACAATTGCCTGAGTATATTGTTTCTAACTGTATGTCGGCGTCAATTCAAACCCATTTATACCGAACAATACAACTGTTGTATGGTTTGAGATCTGTTGGACTGTTTTAAAGCCAATTATAAGGTTAGTTATATAATTAAATAATTTAATAAATTTTTAACCATTTATTTTGTAATACTTTAATTATTAATGTTGATGCAGGTTATGCTTGTAATGAAATAAATTGCTTACTTTCATGATAAGTTAGACAAATTGCAATGCAGTTTTTGTAATGACTATTTTGACCATGCTAATCTAATTCAATTGTTTTATAGCGTGATTGTGACCCCGAAGACGCCGCAGAGCTTGAGAAGAAATGGGATCAGGTTGGAATTAAAAATGGTGATGTTATTTACCATCAAGCAAATTGTACGGCCGACCATTATGGTCATGAAATGGCCAGGGATGTTTGCAAAGACTAGTAGATTTCAACAATGTATGTTTACTAATATAGCCTAAACATTATTATTATAGGTTTATTGTTATTACTGTTAACAGTTAAAAAATTATTTTAAAAATTAAGCTATCTAAATTAACAAAATTTTTGATTTATAAAATTTTTTATAATGAATAAAGCATGTTCAAAAGAAATATGTATAATGTGCAATTATGTTGTATAAATTATTATATTCATAATTTATAATATTAATATAATTTTATTATTAATATTTATTATTATTGAATATAAGATGAGTTATTGAGTATATAAATAAATCGAATATGCTATATAAAAATTATCTATGTTATGGATATTTAATCAATTAATTAAATTTATTTTAAGATTATAATAAACTATTATACATTAAATTTGCAATGTACTAGTAATAAGACAGTTAGTAAATATAGTTTTATAATGTTAGTAAATTAATACTTATTCATAAAAATTACAATAGAAAATAAAATATTATGATCAATATAGCAAGAATCCAAATACCACAGCAACAGGCAATCAACTTTTCTTTAATACCATTACTTAACCACGAGTGTTTACGTTGGCCTAAACGTTTACCCTGCTGAATAAATTGCTCAGTAGCCGCTTCAACATCAGTAGTAGTGTCACCAGGTTCAGTTTTGTTTTTGCTATTTGACTGTGATGTGCCACATAATACATACGCTCCACTCTATGCAACAAACAATAAATGTGCTAGATTATTTATAAATGTTTTCATATGATCATGCGACTACATTGATGAATTAAACACATTATTGACATTGTTGATGTAGCAACATTTATACTATAATAAAGTAATAATAATTAGTTCACAATTACCGAGTAGGTCTGTGTTTGAATTGGTTGTTGCTGAATGGCCGTATTACTTTGAAAATAATGCACGTTGCCAATTTGGTTAATTACCATGGTAGGTCGAGTGACTGTACGCGTTTCTGTAAGTGTCTGCGTTATAGTTGCCATGTTTATTATTAATTTAATCACTTTTAAGTGAACTTGTTATTTTGAAATAGTATTTAAATAATTTACTAAATTAGCATTTAATTTATATTTTAATAAAGAGTATTAATTATGTTATAAAATATATTTTAAATATTAAAAATTTTAATCAATTAAAGCATTCTTATCGGAGTAAAGCATTTCATGGGAAATAAGTGATTAAAATTAGTTCATATAAATGAATAATTTTTTAAACAACAACGAATTTTATTTATACAATTTTAATTATAAATTATGAGTTGTAAAATGTAATTTTAGGCTATAATAATAATTTAGGTTAATTTATTTAACTAGTTAAATAATTGAAAATAATTGAAATTTTTGGATTTAATAATATGGCAACGTTCCACAACCAAATTATTTACTTTGTATTAAATGTTAAATAAATAATATACAATTAATATGTTTTACAGTTTTTATTAATTTAAATTTAAAATGAATTAATCTTATTTATTATAAACTTTTGTCACTTATACTTTATAAAATTAAAATTAATATGATAATAACAAAAATAACAACACCAATTGATGCTAATATAATTTTTAATTTATAATTTTGCCACCAGTAATGTTGCCGCATACGTTTAGCACTTGTTTTAAAATTCCCAGCACCTTCTTGTAAGGCAGTTGCCCTTTCACTCAGGTCATCGAGTTTATAACCACGTTCATTCACCTTGTTAACATTTGATTTCATTATATCGACCACTTCATTGGCCTGCAAAACAAATAATTGTTTATGATAAAAATTTATTTATTTAATAATAAACAAATATAAATACGTAGACTTATGTCTACTATTTTAGTAAAGTAATTAACATAGTAAATGATCAATGACATTAATCAATCAAAGTTACATGATTCTACTTACCTGTGTCTGAATTTGTTGTAAGTACTCGCTATTTGGTGAGTTCATAGTTTTATAATTAAATAATTAATTAATTAACCGAGTTAATAATTATGTTTAAAACAAATAATCGTCATAACTTTGTAATACCATTGCTTATTTTATTTATTTTTATCACATAGTTTTATCAATTATTGCTTATCTGTTAAAACTAGCAAAATAAGTATTTTAAACTATAATTATTATAAATATTATACTTTAATGCTGTATTAATAAATCAAAGTTTTGCGATAAAATAGATTACATTTAGAAAATTAATTTTAAATAATATTTTTATTATTATTTATAATATCATTATTATATAAATGTTTTACAATTAAAATAAAATATGGTAATAAAAACTGTAATTAATAGCATAACAATTAGCAATATACATTGTTTTATACTTAAGTAAATCAAAAATGGTCTACAAAGTATAACACGTTTTTTAGTTAAAATATTTTGTCCATGTTCGTCTCTCGTATGTAATAAATGTTTGTGCATCCGTTTGACCACTCGGTTTACCTACATTATTTAATAACATTTATTGTGTTAGGCTAATTTATGTATATTATACCTGTGCGCGTTTACCATAATAGTTTAACCGGTAAAATACAATTAGATGTGCCGCTTCATCTATCTTAGTTAAAAATGTAATTATTGTTTAAAATAATTATAAAATTATAATCAAGATGAAATTAAATAATACATACCTGCTGCCGGGTTCTCGTGATTTGTGCATCATTGATATTGGCGTAAATATTTGGCATATTTAATTTGAAATTAATTTATTGATTTAATTATTATAAACAACAAATTACCAACTACGTAATTTTAAATCAATGACATTATTATGCGATATATTAATCAATATTTGTAATATAAACAGTAATTTTGTTGAGATTATAAATATAAAACATAATAATAAATAATATTTATTAATGAGTAAGAAAGTAAATATAATGTATATTAAAATTTATATTTAACAACAATAATTATAAATTTATTTTTAAAAATGTAAATCAAATAATTATAGTGTTATAATTAAAATATAAAATTTTGTTATAGATTCGTGTACTTATTAACCTGTTTTGTTACTGGTTAAATACAAACTAATACTTTAAACTTGCTAACCTAATTGTATTTTTAAATTAATTGTTAATTCATAATAGTATAAATATACAAGCAATATAATAACTGCAGCACTGATTAAAATAATTGTGCATTTATGATTATGCCACCAGGGTTGTAATCGGCTATGTTTGCCATATGTTTCATATTGCTCGATATTGGCTCGAATGGCCCCTAATTTTTTATTTAGTTCATCAAGTTTATAACCAAGCTCATTTACCATGTTTGTAGTTATATTGTTCGTCTCACCAAACTGTAAAACATGACATTTGTGTTTGTAATAATTTATCTTGACAATTAAGTAGACATTTTAAACTGGTTAATTAATTTTTATTTAACTATATTACTTACTTGTATTGTAGTTTCCCGATTGTTATTACTTGTGTCCATAATTAATTAAATAAGGTCTATTACTAAATTGAATATTTAAAAAATTGTCTCAGCAATTTAATAAGGTAATAAATTATAACAATTGAAAATCTATTTATATAAGGGCACTTGATGGTAGCTAATAACAATAACATTATCTATCTAAATAAGACAATAGAGATTTGAACCCTAGTTCAAAACAAATACATTAAACAAAAAAAGGTAAGATAATGTTAAAGCAAGTAAAAAGAGTTAAAAATACTTTAATTGTTTTATTTAAAATTATAATCTATAACAATTAAGGATATTTTAACCCTTTTGTTGTTAGTTTTAAATATTGTATTATCAATTATATTTTATTAATATGAACCTTGTTATTTTGTGAACATTGTGAAAATCAATGATTAAAACACTTAATAATTCAATAAGCATTGTCACATTTGAAAAATTATAACATTAACAAAATAATTTATGCGGTTTAGCAAAATAATATTAAAATAAACTTGATTATAATAAAAATGTAAGTACAAAATCTACAAAAATATAAAACCATCAATAGTACTTTACCAACTCCAACCATATACAATTAACAAAATAAACTAACGAAGTAAGTTGTAAGTTGAATACTTGCCTGGCTTTAATCTTAATCATCTATCTTTTAATTATTAAATATAATTAATTTGTATTCAGTTATTTATTATAAATTGTAATTTGTTGTATGGTAGAGTAAACATGCTAATGGCCACAAAAATGTTTAAAATAAAAATACATATTTTATTACTTTATAAAGTGTAATTTATTATTAAAATATCTATTGTGTTAGTCGTTTAAGTTGTATTTTACTCATATTGATTTGCGAATAAGTTTACAAATTTTGAATTTAATTTGGAATATAATTATTTAATTAAATTACACAAATAAATTAATATACATGTATGTTTAACTGATGTGTGTATTGTTTTGTTTTGATCCTTTAATCCATATGGAATTAGGACATTTAACTATTATTTAAAAATTACATTGCTTCCATAAACAACATTATTCTAACAGGTTTTTAAAGTAGTCCACAGGATTAACATCGTAGCCTATGTTAAATCATTTAATAAATCACGATTATAAACTGTAACAAATAATTATTATTTACTACTTATCCATTAATAAATATATATTATATTTTAAATTGGAAAGGGAATAATATACTTAAATATTTTATGCACAATTGTTAATTTTTAAGCATGTTGTTTATACATGTGTGTTATTCAAAATTATACAACAATAGGTAGAAGTAATACAACATTATTGAAAATACGTTTTAAATGATTTATTTAACTTTTATATTCTCTATACGACACAATGTAAGTGTAAAATAAGTGATTGATATAAATGTATATTCATATAAATAATATATTTTATAAACAAAAAGTTCTATATAATCAGGTTAATAAAATTACATAAAGTTACATTACCTTGAACAATATTAACAATTTAGTATTAGTTTTATAATTATAGCTCGTGGTCAGTCTTTACTCAGTTGAACATCTTATAATATTGCATTAATTATTTATTATTTTTGGATTTAATAAATATAAATTTTTAATAAACATTTAGTAATATTAGTAACAATCAATAAATAATTAACAATAAATTTAAATTTTAGTCTTTTATAAATCATGTATACAATTTTAAAGTAAACTATAATTCGTGGGTTATATGTATTTTCAAATTAATTGTTAGTATATAATAGAATAAAAATACAATCAATATTATAACTACTACAACATTAAGGGTAGTTAAACCAATTGTATATTTATAATTATTCCACCAGTGTTTTAATTGTTAATGTTTGCCACTTATTTCACATTTTTCTTTGTTGGCTTGAATGGTGACTAATTTATTATTTAAATCATCTAGTTTATTTTCAAGATCACGGACCATGTTTGTAATTATTTTGGTTGTTTCATCAGGCTGTAAACATTTTAATATTAATTAGTTCATAACATAGAGATTACTATAACATTAAGTTATTTGGGTTTGTTTTACAAATATTATTAATAAAAATAGATTTTGTTTAATGAAATTTACTGTGTCATTAATTTACGACACTTTTACTAATTTTTACAACTAATAATTCTACTTACATTATTGATTGTATCCATTATTGATTGATTTAATATAATAAAGTACTTATTTTAGCTATTAATAATGTAAAACAATTTAATTAAATAATCAGAAACTGAAATCATTAATATTAGTAATTTATATTTATTACCATATTATATTGTTGCGAAAACCTAATAAATATAACATTTTAAAACCTTATAACAAGCAATATCTGCATGATCTGCATAATGAATTTAACCTTGTTCAAAACAAATAAGTATGATAATTATTATCAATTGCATTTGTATTGTCAATACAGTATGCAGTATTTAAAACATTGTTATAAAATTTTAATCATTTAATTTAAAAGCACTTAATTAGTTTATTATTAAAAATGCCAAAATTTACTGATTGTCTGAATCAATAGTTATTATAAATAGAGTAACAATTAAAGTGTCTTACAATGTGGTTTATTTAAAAAATTGTCATGTTTGAATATCAACCCATGTTGGCAAAATAATCTTTTTAATGATGTTTAAATATAACTGATAGCTAATAAACAAAATAAAACTATTTGTATTACTATATTTTATTATACATAAATAAATTATGTAACCACCAGACTACTATATAAACAAACTCTAATACACATAATTTAATGTTAATAGATAATACACAACATATAGAATTTGATTCGCTGTGTACAATTCTGCTTTTGTAATTTAAACCTTGATTATCACTTGATTTTTTTTATAAAATATGAAACTTCAATTATAAATTTTTAATTTTTATAATAAATATTGTTATGTATTTCAGTAAGAAAACATATTATTTATCAATTATTAGAGATAGTTGTAAATAGTTTTATTATTAATAATTATATTATTGTTACAAAGGGAGTTATTTTCCCGGGAGGATTAATTGTCCAAGTGGTTCATTGATAAATGATTACTGTAAACAATAGATTTTATCAAGATGGCAATAAAGTTCTTAGAAGTACAAATATGATCTAATTATCTATATTTTTTACAAACAAATTAAATTTAACAAGGTGGCCATTTGAGTTAAACATTTAGTAATACAAGTAATAATTGAATCGATATTTAATTAAAATTAATAAAACATGATTACGTTTTGTTATAATATCAATATATATAAATTAATTAACTGTTTTATTTTTAAAATAACTAAAATAAAATTATAGACGCCTTGATCATTGTAGAAATTTTAATCACCTTATTTGATTTCGTTGTTAGTTTAAGTACTAATCCATGTAAAACATGATTCATTATTTGAAAATCACAAGTGGTCCTTATATATTAATAATTACATTTTATAAGTATTATTTAAGTATAAACATATAAAAATAACTAGATTTATATATTATGTTATAATTACATATGTAAAAATGTCGTTGTTGTTAAGTATTGTGTTAATTGGTTTAATTGTGAACGGTAATTTTATCGGGTTCATTGTCAATGCTAATGAAGAAATGGACCTTGTTACGTCGTGTACAAAAAAGTTTTATTGTCGAGCTGATATTGGCGATGGTCAGTCGGATTACTATTGTTGCATTTTATTGGACATGCTAGATTGTTATTCAAAATACTTTGAAGTAATGTAATGTTTTAGAATTAATTTTGTCAATTATATTAATACCGTTATATAAAAATATTAAAATAAATAATTACAGATGATTAATACAATTAGCATTTATAATATGGTTAATTTATTTTAAGACTACATGTAATGATGCAGAGAAGACAGCGATGAATAATCATTGGCCAAAATTTAACTTCACCATTGAATCTACTACTGGTACTACTATTGACAGCACTACTTACACTTTACAATATTGTACTGACCATGGTTATAATACACCCTTTAATCGGGCTGTTTGCAAAGATTCAATTCTCACTACTACAGAATTAAACGGAGTCTATAAAGTTACATTTAATTATATGTGCTTGTTAATTTCATTTGTAATGTATACAATGTATTATTATGTTAAATAAATTGCAAGTTTACAAAGCAAACTGTAATAATATTTCTATTTGCTATAATATATAGTTTTTAACTAATTTATACATTTTTAAGTGGCAATCATACAATACTATATTTTTATTAATTTGATGTTTTATTTATTAATTTGATTATTAATAGTAATATTTTATTAGTAAATAAAAAAATGTATGCTACATACAATAATTAAAACATATCTGTTAATTTAGCATAAATTTTTAAATATAGTAGAGTGGCCAGCAGACAATAGTGAGTGATAATAATAACCAATACTGTTTTGCAATGAACTTTATTAATCAAAATATAATAAATATTAAAGTGTTAAGGTATGAATCCAGAATGCATACAAAATATTGTTTAGGTTCAACTTTTATGCCATAAATAAAGGATGTTATTCACAAGTAAAATATGTGTGAATTGTTTATTATTTATTTGGCTAGATTGTATTATTCATATTACCACATGTAGTTGTCTTAAGAACTGTAATATATTTCTAAATAGGTTTTTAATAATAAATAATATTTAAATTTATTTCTTATTGGTCAAAGAAACGTATGACAATTATTTTATTTTTTAAATAAATATAAATGAGTCATCTAGGCAATTTTAAAACTGAGATAATTCTAAAACTTTAAATTAAGATTTTGAATCCAAAAAATCATTAAAATGTATTTAACTAAAAATAAACTACCATAATTAACATTTGCAAAATTTAGATCACAATCAAAAATATGTTTAAAATGACGTCAGTTAATAGTCTTTTTAGATTTTGTGACATTCTTGAATCGCTTTGATGTACGCCTAATAATGTTAGAAAATTTCAATGTATGACTGAAAATTTTGAGTGTTTTAACACAACATACCTACTATTAATGCCGTCTATAATATACTCTGCCATCAATACAGCCAACCATAGACCCATAAATTCTCCAAACCATGTCATAAACATTTCAAATGGCATTTTAAATGATACCTCGACTACTTGTTCGTGAATTGACGGTAACATTATTGCCAATGCATACCATGTTATATTAATAGGACAAGTGTCTGATTGATACCATACTGTATAATGGGGTTTGAAACACTCAACCCGACCCCGACATTCACGTTTGCAATCCCGGGCAACAATAGTGGCGTTTATGTATTCGACAAATGCTTTCGTCATATCTTGCCGTTCATCGCTATATATCAGCCGCAAAAAGGGAAATACGGAATACTTGCGGTAATATTCCCGGATTGTGCACTCGTTCACGCAGTCACGACCATCTTGATTTACAAAGCATTTAGCCTTATCCAACGATGTGTGATTAATGACCGTGGTCTTATTGTACTTAATCAAGCATGTGCTGCTATTTCGTACGTTCACCCTGATTAAGCCCCTACCGGAATATGACCTAAGCTTTTTGGTTCGGGAATGTATACTAAATCTGATCGATCCGTCGGTAATAAGCGATTTATTATGAAACTTAATTGCCATAAACAGTGACCCCTTAGCGCGTGTTGTGTTCATAGCGTACCGATAGTCGGGT